TCGATATTGCACTTTGGAAATTGTAAATGTACCGTTGACCATAGCTTATAGAAAATCTACGCACACGTTCGCGTGATCGGAAATAGCGCTTCGGAAAATGTTTTCGAACGTGGGTCAATTAATAAGCGCAGCAAGTGCCTACCAATCTGTTCTGATGCTTCCGACGGTGCATGTCGGCCATTCGTTTGTGCGTGACAAACCGTTTGAGTCACGATGAATTTCCGTTCGCCTTTGTCGTAAACAGTACGTTGCCACAAGCGATACCCACACGTTAACGCTTCGCCCGCTGTGCCTATTCCACAGTGAAATGCATTTGCATTATCACAGTGTACGTGCTAAATACTAATATATAGGTTTTGGATTTTAGGCATTTATGGGGAAATTGAGCGTGCAATTTAAAGACTGTAATTTAAAATAGAACGATTAAACGAATTTTACAATGTCAATGTATTATTTTAAACCCTGGATCGTTCAAAATTGTTATATGAATATAAAAGAGTTTACGTACTTTTAAACCGCGCGGGAAATATAAATCTTTGCATATAAATTAACGAATCCTCCAACTTATAAAAAGAGATTAATTAAACAAAATTTTTATAATAATTATTATAACCAAAATTTCAAAAGAGATTTACTTTTCTTTGATCTATAAAGTAAGAGCTTAAAGAAATAACTAAGCGACAGATATTTCTGAAACTTTATAGCTGAAAATGGGACTACTGTAAAAAAACACGATAAATAGGTATGCAACTCGAAACTATTTTAACCAGTTTGCTGTTGCAACCTGTTTGAAAAGTGTGTAGCTAGAATGTGTCGCGAAAGATAAGCGATGACGTGTATACAACATAACCCAGGCACTATGTACAGCTTTTTCATAATAATTATTTATATTTTTTTACTTGTACGTTTTATTTCATCTTAGCCTAAAAATATTCAAAACACCTTAAAATTCAAGAATATATTTTAGCTTTCAATAAAATTACAATTTAAACTGCGAATATTTTGCGCTCGGCGTTTAAAAATGAAGTATAGGAAAACACGAACGTACCACGTATTTAATTAAAACCTTTACGATAAATGTCGGATTATAATAACTAATTACATAACTAAAAAACAATAGCCTTTTTCCTAGATTAAAGTATTTGCGAATAAAATGTGTTTATTATATTATATCTCAAACATTCTGCGTTGATTTATATATTAATCCGTATTATATTTTCATCCATAATCTGTACATCACATTATAGTAATACTATTTACATATGTTGCACGCGATATTCGAAAATAAGCAGAATCATAAATCACATTTTCAATATGAAAGGAAAATCGGACAACGAAATGACGGGACAATATAATTCATAAAAATTGTCCATTTTTAAATTCGTTTCATTTCAAAGCGCAGATGCTGCAAATACTGTTTTACACGTATGGTAAAAATAATTTAATTACTGAATATTGCTAATTAATCCTATTATAATTATTCTAGTATATTATTATTAGGTTACGGATTTTATATGTATATTTATGACAACAACGAAAAGTTAAACTATAAGACAATAGAAAAATTAATACAATTTAAACATATCGACACATTAATATCAACTTCTTTAAATTATCATAGAAAGAAACTTCTTAAATATTTTATTTATTTTCAATATCTTGCAATTTTCATAGACATTTTTATATACGTGAAAATAAAATTGCAAATTTTATACGAAAATATGCGGAACCTTAGTAATATTAACAACTGAATATTTTTACGGAAAAGAAGCTATCGTCATAAATATAAAATAAATAATACTTTCGGCGTTATCGCAGTGTAACTAATGCAACGAAACTTTTAGGTAACATTGCATTATCTGCATAGCGCTCGCATGCATGGTTGCAGTTTCCAAAAGTTGCTTTTGGTGTATTCGCTTCATTTTATTGGATAGCCATAAACTTCTTTAATTGAGTCACGCATGAATTGAAGCGACAAAAATGTATTCTCTAAAACTCGTGTGAACATTAATTGACGCGATCATGCAATTAAAATGATATTTTAGCAGTTTCCCCAGACGAAGCCGCTACCTAATTAAATTGAGATCTACTTTAAACATCATGCTGCCGACACGTAAATACATAATTCGCATGTGTTACAACTGTCGCGTCCATATATTCTCTAATGGAAAAAAAACCTATTTCGTTGGAGTGCATACGTAAATTAACAAGTTCGTGCGTTCCAAATAACCGCTTGAAATTTTGCGAAAATTGCACATTACGACTTTCGTTGCACGATTTATGTATGTACGTATGTATGTATACATGTGTAACTGTAAACTAAATTTTATATTATATACAGGGAGAGTCAGAAATTATCCCTACGATTTTTCGGCCCCTTTCGATGGTCTGACAAAAAAATGTTTCCCATCAAAGTTAATTAGTATCTAACCGACAAGAAATTTCAATTGTTTAAATTTAAAAACAAATTGATTTTCAATGAAAAACAAGGTCACCGTTATATTTTTAAATGAAATTAGGTAATTTTAACTTCATAGTAGGCGACGACGAGATGAATTCAACGACCTGCTACATAATGACCTTCAGATGACATTAAAGAAAAATTTTATGTGAATTAACGGATAAAATTGTTTGAAACAATTGCTTGTTTTATGTATTTGCAAGAAAATTATATATTGTAACAAATGTGTGATATAGTAAAAATATTAAAACATAAAAAAGACTGTTCTACTACTTTCGACTGATTCAATTTATTATATGAAAAAAATGTTTGGAGATCTTTCATATTTTGCGAATATTTTTATTTTGCAGAAAAATCTACATCTAAGGATGACGATTGTGACGGTATACCTATCGTGCATATTATGTTCATAAATATTTTCGTAGCCTATACAAACTACAATTCGTTCCGACAATTTTTCGACAAGTTTTTTACTGTAACGTTCACATGGTACGATATGATGTATCAAATTCGTGCTCCAAAAAGCTTCCTACAGAAAAATGCAAAAGTAATGCAACGAAAAATGCGCATGGCAGTGCTTTTTTAAATCGCGGTTGCCATTTTCAACGATTCAGAATCACGTAACCGACTGAACATTTATCATCTGTGTACAGGATAAGCCATTTAAATCGAATCAATCAAATATCTTCGAAACTGTTGATGGTATTATAAAATGTTTCAAACGAAAACTGAATGGTTTTAGGAGGCACATAATCCGACATGAATAAGATTTTTCTAGGTGAACGCATGGAAGACATGTGATGGCTAATATCATTTTTTAAATGGCATCATAAATTTGTTAATGTTCTAATCGATTTAACTTGTCATTATTTTCATAAAAATACTGAAGCGATTATTGCGAAAAATCGTTGGTATCAGAAGATATTTTAAGTTTAGTATTAAGAAATCACTAATATGTGTTGCATCCGATATATCGTGTTCTGATGGATGTTTTTCAAAATAATTATTCAATTTATTATGAATGAGATAAATCGATGTATGATTTTTTTCCATCTGGAATGCTCATTTGTTCCACCGTGAGATTGTCTGGTTATAGGATACTCGTAGTTGAACGAGCGCTAGAAAGAGTCAATAAATTAATGTCTATAATACTGTTTTAAATTATAAGTCAATTGTCTGAATATTTTTTAATTTAGACTTTTTCACTCTCCGACATCTGTTGCCCAATTTATTACTTTCTTTCCTCTGGTCTGTTGGGTGTATTCTTACTATATAAATACTTCAGATAATTTTCTTTAGACAAAGATAAAATCATCTACGTGATACCAAAATGAACATGATGTAGAAGCATATTTTCAGTACGCATATATATTACCAGGATCTATAAAACGCATTTTTCAAATTTTCATTATAGGCTGAGGTAAAAAAGTTAAAAAACAGAAGTTCTTTACTTTTTTGTCATTCCAAGTAATAACAAAATTTAAAAAATTCATTATAGTTATAGTTAAAAAATTCATTATAGTCCGAATATTATTTGAAACAAATTCTAATCGGTTAGTCTAAGTTTTAAAAAAGATTCTGCGTTTTAAAGAGTATCCGAATAAATTTGTCTGGTACTGTATATTACTAGATACGGCAGTTCGTGTACAAAACACCGTACTATTACTCTATATTATATATATATATGAAATATTAACAAAAAATGT